GACACAGATCGCCCCCCCCCCCCCCCCCAAAAAAAAAAAAGCCTTCATATTATCTGTCATACCCAGACATAGAAAAGGGCAATAAATTGAATGCAGGAGTAGATAATACAGATATATATTAGAATGTATTATATCTACAATGTTATCTATTGAAGTTTCATTTTTGTTGCATGGCAAAGGTCAACTCCTTTTGGTAGTTCCGAGCTCCCAAATGATGAAAAAATTGCCAAGACTTCATCTGCACAACATGGTGGGGGGAGGGGGGTGTACACACACATATATGACGCCGGCATAAAAGAGTACCAGTGAGCTAATGTACCAGCATTGTGTCAGCACGTTCTGATCTACCTTATGTTTGCTTTGCCAAAGAAGATTTGTCTACCGTTGATGGTGAACAGATATGGGTCAGATGAAATTTAATGCAAGCAAGATGAAAAGTAAGGTGGCACCTTATTGTTCCTCAGCTGCAAGGTAGCTCATGTTAACAAGAGTCACAGGTCTAGGATGCCTAGTGGACACTGAGCTGTGCTTGTACTTGGGAAGCTGCAATACTTACGTATTTCAGAATGTCTGGCTGTTATTTTTAGGGAAACCAGATCCATCTGGGCTTCTTTTTCTAATTAAAAAGAGGGAGAAACGGGAATGAAAATATCCATCAATATGTAGATGAATTTAAAAAATGGGCTATTTCTTCCATGGCTCACTCCCACAGGACAGCTAAGTCTCAGCTAAATGAGACGACACCTAGCCACTTACTTTGTGGGGTTTTTTTAGTGTGCAAACCCAGTCTACTATTCCTTCAGTGCCTTGGCTTTAGTTTGTCTCCGAGCCTAATTAAAGCCTTTCCAATGTGATCTAGAAGAACCTGCATCGTCTGGATTCTAGATAAGTTTGGCGTCGCTCACGCTCTGGGAAAACAGGAAAAGCTGTACTAGCGCAAACTAGTTCAAATAATGACAGTGTTTTCAGAGAAAGGTGCAAAACCTCTGTCAGTTTAGCCCTTACATTTTTACTCTAATGAGAGTAATGTTATATCATCTCCTTAGTCCCCTAACTGTCCCGTCTTTTATGCCTCATAAGGCTCTGGCCTCAGTGGTACCCTATTAGAGCAAGCACCCCAGATTAGTTATCCACTCTGCAAAAGTGTTTTTTTTTTTTTTTTAAGTAAGTTTGTCACCTTCTAAATATATGGCAGCTTTCTCGTTGTTGTAGGATGAAAACTGAGGGCTAGAAATGCCCAGCTGACCTTCTCCCTTGCCTCTCTTGCTTCCCCTCTAATTCATTTTCCACATTGGTCTGACAGAGTCCGAGACTGTTGCACTTCAGGCTACATTGCAAGACCCATCTATTATTCTGTCTTTTGCCAAAGAGACTGACTTGAAGGGGTGTGAATTTTTGTAAGGCTTAGGAAGTGCTGAATTGACTTTTCTGTCACTTTCGTTATTTTTTAGTTTCTGTGGGTTACAGCACTGATGGAAATGTCCTTATAGTCTGTGATAGGTACATTCTATAAATAGCATGTTAAATAAATAGAAATGTTTTGAAAAATTAAGACTCATCCAAAAGTTTTAAAAATATAGACACTGTGTGTAATCACCTAAAAATAACCACTGCATTTTATTTTTGGCAAAAAGCATGTAGTAAGAAGCAAAACTATGCAGTTTAATTTGCTCCTTGGTATTACTTCCCATAGTATTTGCCAGTAATGGCAACATTATAATTTGTAGAATTAATTAATGATCTGGCATCTGATTTTGATTCATTAATGCTTAAGCCAGCTAAGTCTCAATTATCCTCTGGACTATTTATTCCTTAACAAGCATTTAGCTAATGTGATTTTAAAAATATGAAAATAGGTCTTAACTTGCCTTTAAAAAGTGGCAATATTTTAACACTCCACTTTAAAATGAAAGACCCTTCGTATTTTTCATTCTATTATAGTTATATTCAAAATTTTCAATGTATTCACTTAATATATATTATATGTACCTGTAACCTGAGTTCAATTTAGGCTTGATTAAAAAATGTACTGAATTGGAAACTGTGTAATAAAGGATGCCTAAATCATACTGACCCAGAATAGCTCACTCACTCAGACAGTTAGCAAATAAGTGCACAAGCAAGCAGATGATACGAGAATTCAAAATTAATTTTATTCTCAGAGGATGCGTAGACTAGGAGATAGCATCTGCCTCTATCAGCAGTGGTGTAAATCCAGAGTAACATCTTGGCTTGAGTCTCATTACCCCTCAATTTGCTTGCTTATCCTGCAAATGATCAGAATTGGACTCTTCTATGCCCAAGGCTAGGTTAAAGTAGCTGAAATAGTCAGTATTACTTCATGACATTTTTGTGATGCAACTGAAAGTCTCTACCAATTTCCATGTACTTATTATTTATAACCCATCCATTTACCAAAGTAATTTAGTCTTCTGAAATTTTCTCCAAATGATCAGTATTTTTAAAAGTTCACTCACCACATCCTTTATGAAAACCTGCCCAATTGTGTTATCCCTTGTGCTGCAATTGTGTTGGGATAGCAGCCGTTCAGAAACAGCATAGGTTTGATCTGGGATTGTCAGGCAACAGTTTAAGAGCTGCTGGGAACTGATCTTGGGAAGATGCTTCTATTGCTGGGCTCCAATGTGACATTTGTGCCTGCCACCGTTGCACCTTGTCGCTGCTTACATCCAAAAAGAAATGCCTAATTATAAAGACAAGAAAACAAATGAATCATGGATGTTTTAACCAAATAAACCATCTTAGTTAATCACTTTAGTTACTGAGATTTGTTTTGAAAGTACCTTCCAAAAGCTTTCAAGCATTATAGAAATGGTAGAAAATACAAAACTAAGCCATTAGTGTTGCAGTACATGAAATAACTCATCTCTTGCAACCATGCTTCCTTCTCCTAAATCACTCAGGGGCCTCCCCATGCCTGCATTTCACTGTAATCCCATTGGTGTCAATCAGTTCATGCAGCTGTGACATCAGTTAGAGCCTTTCCCACCTTTCTCATCAAGCAAAGCCTGGGATGAACAGCTGAGAGTATCTTCCGTCCCATTTTTAGATCGCTAAATCTAGCTTCTTTCAGTCCAAGAAGGGAACTCAATCCACAGCTGTAGGACTTTTAATGGACTGAGCTGTGACACCAGCTTCTCTTTAAACACAAGGAACTGTTACGTCAGACAGGTCCGAATCAGCTACCCCAGAAGCAACAAGACGTGAGGGTGCTCAAGTCCCAAGCCGTCAATGGCTTTAAAAGTCAAGCCCAAGTTGCAACAAGTTGCTGAGTCAGAGTCTCTGGCCCATCAATGTGCTCTGTGCTGCTCTGGGGCTGTACCGCAGCTCTGAATCCAGCTTACAGGGCCAGTGTGGGACTCCTGGGTCCTCAGAAAGCCTCCCACCTGGACACAGAGCTGAGGAAGGGAACAAAGAAACGTTCCAGTTCCTGAAGCATTAGGAAACATAGGCGTTATCTATCTGTGCTGTTATGGTAAGAGTACGTTAGGACCAAGAGGTAAAGGGAGGTGGTTGAGCTCCATCTCTAAAGCTAGGGTTGCACTGCTAGAAGCACAAGTTTTCTCAGGAGTTGTTCAGACAAAAGGATCAGATTGAGGAATCACAGCATCCCTGATGATAGCTTTTAATCAGCTGAACAAGATGAAAGGAGGGGAAGTGGAGGCTTAGTAACAGAAATGTGCAAAGCTTAAAAAGTTCCAGCTGCTATTCTCTAATGGAGACTTGGTTCCTCATGAATGGTGGAATAGTTAGGCCACCTGGTGGTAAACAGCAAACCAACAGGTTTGCAATTTCCAAGCCACAGTAAATATCCTGAGGACTACATAGCTCAAGGAAACGGTCATGGACAGGAGGAGCCTTTCATTTCCAGGTGACTGGTGTGCAGCCACCTCCAGCAGATAGCAGCCAGGACTGGTTTCCATCCAATTGCTACGCAATTGCCTGTGCAGAATTGCGATGCTGATCTAGTGTCTGGCCAATTTCTATTAGTGAGGTGTCTGCATCACAAAATCTTCCGCCTCAGCCAGCAACCTAGCGAGGGAGGCAAACCTGGAACAGCTGAACTTAAGTAGCTTGTGAAGTAAGATCTTGACATGCTGTTTACTACATGGCTGAATGAAGACCTCCATCCATAAATTCAGCATTGGCTCATTTCAGCTACATAAAATAATGAGCATGGTGTGACTAGATTGCATAACTGGAATTCATCTTTTAATGACTAGTCTACAACATAGTTTTCATTTCTGTTTCTGCAACTTGTTTCTTCCAGCAAATCTACTGACCAGAAGTACTGCAAAGTATCAAACACAAATGGAGAGTGAATGGAAGATGTCAGGCCTATCAGTGAAGTATTTCTTCAGCAGTGCTTGTAAGTACTAATCTTTCAATAGCTAAGAACTTACCTGAAATGGACAGTAGTGTATCACCAGAAGGCATTCACAGATGGGATGAGCACAGGAAAATGAATATAAAAGGACATTTGTTTGAAAAAAATCTGATTCTTCTTAGAGATTAGTCAGCGTTTTGCCCAAGCGTGCCAACAGCAGCTTTTAGCGGAGCCTAGTGAAAACACTTCACCTTGTCCAGCCAGTGCTGTTCCACGGAGCATTGCTCCTGGCTGCTCCCCCTTGCTGGTCGTGCCTGCTCCCCTCACCATATTCTCTAATAAACACTTGAAAACTCACCAGATTTGTGACTCACATTTTAATCTTATCCAAGTTACAACATTTATTTCACAGGATGCCCAATTAAACGGTAATTCAATCTGCTCTGGAGTTGTTTCCTTCCCCTCTGGTGATTAGTGTAACCTGAATAATGTAGGAAGCACAGAAAAAAAAGGCAGTAAACAACTTCAGTGACATTGGGAGCGCAAGCTGCAACTTTTCACACGGGGTGGGGTGGGAGGGGGAAACAGCATGCACAAAAATATTAGGAAGGGCAATCATTTCGGATGTTTGCTGACTCTCACTTCTCTCAAGCATGGAAGGGGAGATGACTTATCTATCTTAGTCTGTCTTATGGACTCACTTTAGGCCTGGGGAAACACGAGTAGGTGTGGGCTTGTGCAAGCCACACAATGTGAAAGAAAAGCTATGGCCCCGTTTTCCTTGTAGTTGTTAAGTGCCTCTTGTTTCCCTTCACTGAAGCTTGTGTGAGTGTGCCAGTTCCTTGCGGCCTGCCTCCAGCGAGAGTGCTGGAGCTCTGCGCTCCCGCAGTAAGGGGGCAGGTTCCTGCATGTCACTCGCTGTAGGCTGCTGGCCAGGAGCTCTAAAAACCCATTGGCTAGCAGCTCTCTGATTGCCTGAAGGGGCTTTTGCTCGTGGCAAACATTTGCCTACTTTTGTGGGGGCTTTCTTTTCATTGTCACACAGGCATGTCAAGCGCCACATGACGCACACAGACGTGCTCCTCTTGGTATCGGCCCCTACACGTGCTACCTGAGATAGCCTTCTACAACATCACAGGCTTACTTTGGAGGCAGGGAACTAGACCTAGGGTTCAGCAAAAAAAAGGAGCTGTTTTTCAAAATAAGGAAGAAAATTTAAATAGACAGTTAAATGTTGCTCAGTCTTAAAAAAAAAAAAAAAAAAACCACCAAAAACCTCTTGGAAAATCCTGAGTGAGGGAAGCATAGGTGTGGGCAACTGCGTAACACAGCTTAGAGTTCCCTTCCCTCCCCAACTTGTACACCTGCTAATGCAAACCCAGCTCAGAGTTGAGCACTGCCAGTTACTCAGGAGAAACAGCTCGGTTTCAGAATGGCACCTTGGTCGATGGCACACATTCAATGCCGGCACGGGCAGCTCTGCTGAAGACAGCTCCTGTTTATGCAAGTGCTTAAAACAAAATGAGCCACTAGTGCCTTACTTCACCACAGCATCATATGATAGTTACTGAGTCGAAGCCAGGTTGTGCCTTTGGGCTTTTCTGAGTGTGTCCTCAAGATAAACTATGCTAGGGGCAGGCAGTGGAGGGCTGCTGGGAGTGCCGCAGAGCTGGCTGCGCAGAGGGGCTGCTGCCTGGCAGCACCTGAGGACAGGGTCCCAGCCCAACACCCCTCCCCTGCAGCCAGCTGACAGCTGCTGGGGGTACGTGCTGGAGCGTCCCTCGCTAAAAAGGCAGGCTTTCACTCTGACCTGCAAAAGAAGCAATTTTGTGACTTAGGGAAGAAATATTTCCTTTTGACGTCCTGCTGTGACAGCACTTGCAACTCTAGGCTGTGCCTAAGTGGCATTACTGAGCTCTTCACGCAGAACACCCTGTGCCCGCCTTTCTTCTCCTCCGAGGTCTGAGAAGTTTGGCGCTTGACTTGTTTGGTTACAACATTGTAAAATTCCTCCAAAAGAAATTTTCAGTGTGCTTTGCTAAGACCTTCTAAAAAAATATAGATTAATTGTGATAATTAAATTTCCCTCTGAGTGATTTCTTTGATAAATGGGTCTAGTTAGGACTTTCAATTAACCACCAGGCCCTGCTGTGAAGTCAGACTGAAGCTTCATGTTGCAGGCGTTTATTGCCTCATTTACACAGAGACAATCTGAATTATTTTCCATTATATTGTTTTCTTTATCTGTCTTTTTTTATGCAAGTATTAGAATTCCTATTAACCCTTCTGTCAGGGAGTCAATTTAAAAGGTATGGTCAAGCAATTTTTAATTATTTTGTTATGGTTTAAATAAACCTCCTGGAAGCATGGTACTTGAAATCTTTCCCTTGTCCATACTGCAGGCCTTTGCTGCATAAAACTCACGCATTTGTTATCGCATGCATTCTCACAGACTCCAACTTGGTGATAAAAGAATATGAAAACAATATACTGTGGGGAAGAAAAGACATCACTGACCACAAAGACAGCCTTGTGATGAGTGGTGGTAATATGCAACAATACTGCGACCGACAGCTTTTATGTTTTCACATTGTCCAAAATTGTGAGTAAATGGTAACTGTTGCTTGGAGAATTTCAGTTATTGGTGGTGCGCTCCACCTTTAGATATTAACATTGCTGTGTTTTAAATTATGTCCATGTACTCCAGCATGGTCATTTTGAGTGTGGACTGAAATATTTAAGATACGTGATTCCTACCTTACCTTACAAAATTACAACTGTTTGTTTTTTGAGTTACTGGTATAGACTTACAAACATAAACTGTCCATGTGAGTGTAATTCAATACTTTTAGCCCTGAAGAGCTAGACGTCCACTAATTTTAATAAAAAAAGCAAAGTTCATCCAAGAAGAGGTTTTTTTTAAATATATATTTCGCATCTAGACACCAGAATTCCCTGCATTGATAACAGAGAAGAAAAAGTCTACTAGACTTAGAAAACGATTTTAAATTTTTATGAGCTTTCTGTAAAACCATCCACAGCTATTCTAGCTAAGATGAAATCATAAGGTTTACCAACTGATGTGCTTTGAGATATAAATCAGAAACTAATTGTCTGACATTAGGGAAAGACATGTTTTTTTCCCTCTCCTCCCACACTACCAACAGAAAAAAAAAATCTATTTCTTTCTTTCATACTATGTAGTATGTGTGAATGTATGTAAGTAAGATTACATACATTTCTGATCTATACTTTTGAGCTTGATTTTGATGCAACCAATGAAATTGCACTAACTTTTATAGGAGGAGCATATCAAAGGCATACTTTCATTCATATTAAAGTGCTCCCCCCCCCCCCCCCTAAGATTTCAAGGGAATTTCTGCCATGTAAAGAAATCATGCTGTCTTTCATATATGAAGCTATGCACAGTCAAACCTCAGTTTGTCCACATGGACCAAGAGCTATTAAATGAGTTGTGATAATGGAGAGTTTGAATAATTGATGGAAATTTCAATGCAATTAATGTAAGGCAAAGGACGTGAACTCATTGCTGATAAATTAGGGTTTGTGGATTATTGAGGTCGGATGGTAAATCCTACTGTCATCCCTCCCCTCCCTTTTTCTCCAACATAAAACAGCAAACCCCATGCTTTTAATGCACATTTGTTATGCTCTGGCATAACTAATTTCTTAAACTGGTAACACAAAGATGACTGATTACAAAACAATATAAATGTACATTTTAAAATCCAAATGCTATTTTAAATGTAAGTTAATATAAGAACATTGTGTGGTTAATATTTATCTAGCATCCTGTGTTTTTGAGGCACATCTTGTCATATAGAACTGTGCTGTTAAAGTGGTTCCTGGGAGTGATGCGCACGACTCCTCCTTTTGCTAATGGGAGCTGTGTGCATAGAACAATTTAGCTGTTAGTGCTCTGAGAAGAAGAGAACTTGAATAGCAGGGCTTTGGAGAGCAAAATAAAAAGAAAGCTGCTACGGGCATTTGGAAAAACACTTGCTATTCTTTTTCTTCCTAAGCATGGCTGCAGTAAACAACCACTTCAAGATTCCTCTTTAAATAAGTGACATGAAAAGGAAAATAGCATGACTTTATATCAACAGCATTTCAAAATGTACTGCAGGACCCAAACTAACCTTGGTTTGCAGGGGAGGAAAAGGCTTTTGTGAAGCAGGGGGGTTTGGTTTGTATCTTTGCTGGCCAGTGGTTTAAATAACTTGTTCCTACTGGGAGCATTTTGACCCAAATATCAGAGACAGTGTGTTTCTTATGGGGAGTGTGTTTAGGCCTAGATTTTAAAAATACAATTGATATTGTATTTTTGATATGACAGATGATGTATAATTGATATGATTTGATTTTGATACGATTTGTATTTTTGATATGATACATGATGTGTAATTGATATGATTTGACACTCAAATACATATAAAGAGCTAGGGAAATGGCCTGATTTTCAAGCGACTCAAATGCCCACCGACTCCAGGTCAGGGTCCTGACCCGAGCAAAGCACACGAATATCCCCTCCCACCTCCAACCCCAAGGCAATGTGACTGCTCATGCATTTAAGGGTAAAGTGCTTAAGTGCTCCCTTAGGTTGGGGTTAGGGAACTTAAAGATGGGTGTGGAAGCTAATGTTAGGCATCCACTTCTTTATATCTTGGCCGGAGGGTTTTTGTTTGTTTGTTTGTTTGTTTGACTTTTTAAAATCACTTTGCTTGTTTAGAATTTTCTCAACCAAACTATATGCAGCAAAGTGCTTTGAAACACATTGCAAAACTTGGTTCCAAACCTTTCCAGAACAATTTCCCTGTGGCGTGAGGTGCAAATATACAAGTTGTAGGGTTGGGTGCATCTCTTCAGTCAGGGGCAAATTTATACCAGACTGGGGAGCAGCTTGTTTTAAATGCCAAGTTATTTGCAAACTTCTTCCTGCTGTTTGGTCAGGATTGGAAGAACTTCAGCTACCAAAGAAAAGCCAAAGAACATAATGTAGTGTAGAGCCCCCCCCTAAATGTACGATGCACAGCTCTTAATGGGTAGAAAGGTGGCATAAGGTGCTGGACCAGGATGCAGAAAACCTGACTTCAATCCCCATTTCCATCAGAAGATTTATGTATGTCCTTGGGCAAGTTACTGACTCTGCTCAGTTCTAAGTCTGTAAAATGGCGATATACTTTTCTGCTTTTAAAGCGAAGGGAGTAAAATCCATTAGTGATTGTGAGGTGCTCAGATATTAAATTCTTAAGTGCTTAGATACATCAGTAGAGGAATTTTCTGAAGAGATGTTACTGAACAGATCTTGGCATGCTTTTGGGTAATATTCACCATAATGTGTTGTTGTACATCTTTATTCCCGATGTTTTATTTATTACAAAAATATTAAAGGTTGGGTTTCCTTGTAGGGGTGGATTGACTGGGAGGAGTTCCACAGGGACAGAAAATGTTTTCCATGTTATAGGACTAATAACATAATAGGAAAAAGAAAAGGCTTAGGTTGCCATTTGATTGAGACAATAAATAAATGCCTTCACTTTGGCCTATAGTGTACCATCTAACTCATATGTTCTTATGCCTTTTCAGTCTCATACTTAGCTGCCTTGCCTTCCCCTTTCTATGTCTTCTTTCTCTAGAACTGATATAATAAATGTTGGAAAAAAAACACCCTCCAAAAGACATTTAGGCCATAACAAATACCATTCTGTATTTTCTGAATTGAATCTTCCTGCGCGACAGACAGTCCCTGTGACATCAACAGAAATGCCGTATTACTACTTAATTGTCAAGCCCTGCCTAAGTCTGGCCATTAGTGATACCGGATAGAAAAGGAGGCAGGTTACGGATACCAGGATCAGCTTAAAGCTGAGGAACTGCTGGCATGAGACAGGAAAAAGAATATAAACCAGTGACTTCAGGAAACCTGAATGTTTCTCATACTTAAACCAAGGCTACACCTAAATATTATAATTAAACTCTCATTGAAAGATTTTTGCTGCATTTCTCTGTTTTCCCATGCTTCTGTGTTCTTTTGAGTATGTAACTTTTGGCCATATTTTAGCTAAGAACACAAACCTGATGATCTTCCTAGTTCAGAACAGTTCACAGGGACTGTACTGCTTTAAGGTTTTAGCAATTTGGATTCTCCTTCTCAAAATGTAATTTTCCTAGGGACTGCTGGATCTGCAGGGGCTCAGTACCATTGAGCAATGCATTCCCACTGAGGATGAGTCTGACTTTACGTTCCAGTATCTTGTGGTACAGCTGTCTCTTGCATCTCACTAGCTGTCCCATTACTCATCCTAGTTTCCCGTATGCTCATTGATGGTTGTTTCCTATGCTCTTCTTCTGGGAGTCTTTTTCTCTTTTGTTAAGAATCTCTTCAGGAAATTAAATTCAACAATTGGTGCTGTATCTTGCTTTCACACAGGTGGTAGGTAATTCTATGCGTTTTTTTCATATTAGCAGTGACTATGTTCTGTAACGTAACAGAGATTTCTTCATTTGCTTAACCACTATTGTGTTTGGGGATCTTTTATATTAGAAGGCACTATATGAAATGCAAGATTGTACTGACTAAAACTTTGTCTTTAGCCTTCTGAAGTTTCCATATCGTGCTTTATATCCCATTTGATCCTTGTCCTATTTATCTAATACTGTGGTGCGCAACTTGGAACTCTGTACTCTACTCTATGTCTCTCACTAATTCCTTTCTGTTGGCTAGAACCCTAAACCACACAGGCTGAGGTTCTGTGTTGTGTTGGTATTGCTAAGGTACTTTAACTCACTTCTGCATAATTTGGATTCCAATCTGATCCCAAAGATTTCTCACTCTATGTCTTATGTCAGTCTAAATAGAGCTCTCTGTGGATAACTCTGCAATTCAGAGCCACAGAGAATTCTTTTCAGGTGTTTTGTGATATTGCCAGATCCGCTTTTCTCTCTGGCCGAGACCTGGCATTGGCGGAGGCTGGTCAGAGAAGGCAGAAAAATCCTACAAATAAATTAATTTAAAACTCCTTGTGCTAATAAAACCAAACTCAAGTATAGCAAAATAATAATTCACTACACATCTCTGTCCATCTTCAAAGAACTTGAGAAAAAAAAAGGTTACAGCATCTGTGTTAGCTAAAGCAAGAGACGCTCAATTTACAGATTAGGAAACTAAGGCAAAAACTCACTATACTGCTGGCTACCAAAATAGCTAAGGATTAGGCTTTTAAAGTAGTTCTCTACCAAATACAAAGGGCAAAAGGTGAGGCATAAGGATCTTCAAATGGCTGTTTTTTCTTTCTCCTGCTGTTTATAGCCCTTCTATTATATTCTTCAGAAAGAGACTAAAGCCCAAAAACGTTTTCCTTTTCCCCCTCCTTTCCTAGAAGAAAATGACATGAAGCTAAAACATTGCGCCAGGACCCACTCTGTACTGCTTGACCAAAAAAAAAAAAGAAAGAAAGAAAGAAAGAAAGAAAAGAAAAACAAAGAAAGGGATCTTGATGAAAAACATTTTGGCCAACATTTAGAAATGAACAGAGGGCACTGCTCTTGTATTTCTGCCCTTTGCTCAGTCACCAACTAGACTAAATCCACATTTGTGCAATTTGCTCTGCACACAGCCTGAAATCAATGAGGTCTATGCAAGAAGAGAGCACCTGCCACAGGCTGTTATTGTTTTTATTTATTATCTGTATTATTAGACAATGCAGGAACCCTAACAACAAATATTGTATAAAGTACTGTGTAAACATTGAACAAAATCATGGCCCCATCCCAAGGTGATTACAAACTAAACAGAGGACAGGAGACCACAGCCAGATACAAACAGGCAGAGGGAGAAGAGAGGAAATGGGAATGCTCAGTGTGGCTGACAGCAGTATTACCTCACTAGCAGTATAAACACTGTCAAATCTTTTGCAGATGTCATGGCAAGGGAAAGCTTTAAGGAGAGTCTAGAGAACTATGAACTTAAGTCTGAGGGAATTTATGCAGGGTACCTTCTAAATATGAGAGAGACCACAAGGGAGAAAATGAGAAAGGGCTTGCATTTTGGATGAACACAAGAGGATGGCTCACTGGACAAAAGGAGATGCTATATTTTAAGGTTTTCTGCGTTCCTGACTACCTTTAACAGTGACACCCTTGCCTGCTCTTGACCAATCCTGTTTACCCACATCCTACTCCGAAATGGCATTTTAAGGCCCAAGCAGGCCAAACCGTAAGCCAGCTCAATGCAGGCTGTTAGCGGAGCTGCTCTGTTCCCTGTTCATGCCTCCTGACAATGTGAGATGATAGGTAGAGTCCCAGGGGGCCTTCAAAATGAAGATAGGCAGCTTATGTTGATGTGATAGGGGAGGGGAAGCTAGTGCAGAGATGCCAAGAGAGGCGTGACATGCTCAAAGTGACAGGCTCGGAAAAGGATCTGCTTCAAAGCAATAGCAGCGGCATTCAGTATGGATAGGGCAAAGGCCAGACTGCATGTGTCAAGGCCAGAGAAAAGGATGTTGCAGCGACTGAGCTGCTGAATAGTAGAAATTTAAAAAAGAATTTTAACTGCAAGGAAGACTGGGAAAAGATGCATCTTAAAAGCCGGAAA